TTTATAAAACTGAACAGAAGGAGGTCGGCTACCCTGAGAAATCGGACACTGGAAGGTGCTACCGGAGGCAAAGGGGGGCGGGGAAGCACAGCACTGAAGGCCGTCATCACCATGACGTCGTGCTCTGGGCTGGACACGCACCTTGTTTCCATAAATGCTGTATAAGTGCTGTGTCACACATATATACGATGCGATGAGATAATGTTGATATAGTATGTTTGAATAGCCTTGGAAAATTTGATATTTATTGATTAAAAACTTATTATCGACTGACATAGATTTTATGTTACAGTGTCGGACAAGACGACAAAGTGTTTTGGACAGAAGTTTAAAGGCACATTTCACGGATAACTGAGAAATATAGCCCCTTCCTGAGCTAGTTAATAGTTACTGACTCACATTTGAACTCTATTATCCGCAGCCTTTACTCGTGAAATATGTCTTTAAGGGAATCACTCAACAAGTCTACGATCATAAAACGACACAACAATAACGCAAAATTATTAAAGGAATGACAGTAGCGATAAAAAACTACAAATATACACACATTATCGAATTAGACCTTTTTCTTTCCGTCTTTGAACCAACTCACGCTGTCGTCCTTCTCAATCTCTCTGCGTATCATCTCATCGGCCTTCGGATCGACTTTGCTAAGTTCGCGGAAACCTTTGTCGCCAACAAAACAAATTTCGTGGTCATCCTAAAAAAATAAAATTGCAGTCATTCACATGGTGCCTTGCGACAGACTCTTCAGCGCTATGCTGCCGCAGTCGTGACAAACCTGCTACGTACAAAGCCGTTGTTTTGGCTGTGGGTCGTGAAACTCGTTATTAGCTAAAGAACTATTCAGCGCAACTAGGACAGGAATAGGAAAGGGGACATGAGTAGAGCCTTACAGTTAATGTGTTCATGGTGCTATGGGCGGAACGGGAGGGGGAGGAGAGGGGAGGGAAGTTGAAGTCAAAAATCCGTAAAATGGGCTCCAGAAGTACCCAATGACCTGAAGTAAGATAAACGTGAGCTGCGCTTCTCTAGATAGTATATGGGATTCTTTTTAAGTGGGACTCCCACACGTTTTGCACTTACAATTAGTCTCATTTGAAGCCAAGTGGGAGAGTGCGGCATCATTCACGTTTTTTTTTCTTTCGGCAAGCAACAAGACTGGATCTTATCGTTGGTAGCAGTCGTTTTCCACTAACTGCTGTCGCTTATTCGCTTTAGCAACGGGTGGGAAAACAGACTGGCACCGCCTCAAACCCAGCCTCATCATCCGCAGCGAAGAATAGTTTAAGTGAAATCACCCACTGACATTGCTCGATTTTAGCAAAGTTCATTCCTCAATCGACAGATATGGTTACAATTTTTTTACAATTGAACAAACCAGAAGTTAAACGGCCGTGTGCTGAGAGCGTTGAATCAAGACTTACAGGATCAGCCAGAATCACGACTTGCACGCTGGCTTTTCCTGGTGTGTCGAGAGTGGTGAGCTCTTTTAGAATGGGTAGCTTAGCCGCTTTCATTTTCTCTTGCAATGCAGAAAGCTGTAATCAGAATAGTGTTTCGATAGTCAGAACAGCTACCAACCCTAGACCTTGTAACAAACTTTGGAAACCCACTCCATCATCGGGATAGGCGAAGGCTATGCGCCCATAACCGCTTCCTCTATCCAATGCGGTACCTTCTGGAAGTTGACGTACTTCAAGGCAACACTGAAAATATATAAAACCAGTGTTACCAAACGTTTCCTTCACAGAGATCAAAACCCACCAACCTGACCCTCGCCAAAGCCCATAGTGATGCGTCCTTTATCTCGTTGCTCAACAACCTTCATTCCCAACTGATTGGTCCAGTAATCTGAAAGGACGCAACCATTCATAAACTGTAGAGACCTGGCCAATGTGCTGAGTTCTCACCAACGCTTTTTTGGAAATCCTGTACTCTCACGCTTACTTTGACCACCTTTGGAGGGTCTTGTCCAGGACATATAAGGAACCAGTGACCGTCAGGATCTGTGAGCTGAATAAAAGAGTTATAGTATTAATCAACTTGAATAGGAAGAATTTTATTCAGAAAGCCATGAATAGACGTATAATTTCGGCTATGAAAGGCTCGTATAGACCTTGCTTTGCAATCAATTTCTCTATTGAATGGCGGAGTAAGACCATGGATTTTAGAGGATGTAGAGAACGTAACTCCCTACAAGACAATTACCTCGGTTATAACCTGAGTGGCTACCATAACATCATAGTTGGTGCAGTTCGGCGACGGGGGGGGGTGGCAAGAGGGGTATTTTGCTTTTCCGCTGCTTCACAAGTTCTGGTTCACAAATCCCACTCTGGTGAAACCTGTGCACTCCCGTAAAGTGTAGTAAGCAGAGCTACCATAATAAATGAAATTTGTATGGTGTCTCATTGCTTTATAAGAGTTGACAGGCAGTCTCTAGTAACTGACTGTCATCTTCCTGTTACTTCACAAGATTCCGCAGATCTTCACTTAATGTGGTGACACGTCGATAGGACGTAGCAAACGTGCAAATGCTCCCCTCCCACGTCGCCGAACTGCCTATTATTTCGTCATTCTGCTGATTGGAATTTTGTGTGCGAAGAAGTCCCTTCTGAATGTTTAGTATGATCACAGTACAATATTTAAAGCTCGTCAGAGAGTTACTCAAAAATAGGAGTGAACCATCCCAGCGAACCGACGTGACTCTGGAACAGATCCTTCCTAAGGATTTCTAAACGTAATGTACTGCGAATTTATCCAGGAACGATGTATTTCTATAGCTGTAACACCGCTGTTATCGCAAAATAGTCCAAGCTATCCCACTTAAGGGGCCACTTGGTGAACGTGAAAAAAGTAACTAAATCCCATGAATTCTCACCTGAAGTTTCCCGCATTCCAATTTCTTCACATTCTCGTGCCCTTCAAGTGATTTGTGAAGCTTATCAGATTCAATGAACATTCCCTAAATATCACCTTTGATCATATTTAACTCATCGGTTCATTACACAGACAGAAAGCCACACAACTCACCATAAAATCATTGCCAAGGCGATACGAGCCTATTTCGTAATTATAGGTCAGCTCGATGACGAAGTGATCGTCTTCACTACCGTAGCCCACCATCGTCTTACTCCATTTTCCATTATAGGGTCTGTATTTTGTTATAAAAAGTACCAGCAAAGCCAGTTCAAATATGTGAAAGATCCTACCCATTACATGAGGCTTTACAACCTTCTTCGAATTCTTCATGACGCAACACCTAGAACAAACAAGGAGAGGCGTTATTCATGATAACACAAGCAAACTGCTTCGAACATTGTCTTAGGCAGCGTTCAGACTTCGCGATGACGCGCGTCGGAACGCTGCCGTGGAATGACTGCAGTGCCCGAGATCCACATGGCGACGAGGAGCAAAGAACTGCATAGTATCTCCCGGCTGGTTGGCACGACTTGCTGCTCAACACTGAATTAATTATGTACTGGTGCGAATGACGCGTGCGGGACAGCACTCGCAGACTGCTACCGCTGCATCGCCGCAACGTAGATCTGCCGCACTACATCTCCATAGAAAGGGTGAAACTCCTGACCTTCATCTGTAAGACCTTCGTGAAGAAGTCATACGAGGCTTTTCTGTCGCCAATTTTGAACACATAATGAAGAGCTCTTACTGCCGTTCTCATCTTAAGGATTTGATTACACAGATATATAATAACAAGGCACCACGAATAGTAAGCAAAGGAATGAAGGATGAATAAACAGAGATATTTCCAAGCAGAGAAAAAAAACTGTGTTTAAACTCCGAACACAGCGAAAAGTGTTAAATCTCCGAAAAGCATTTCGTTTCCAAATGCTTCTACTTGCCATCTCAGATGGAAACGAGAGCAACTATAGGACATCGCTCGATCCATAGTTGAAGAGCAAATCACTGAGTAAAGTATCTGTCGAAAAAAGGGTGCTCGTTTTCAGTTCTCAGAGTCGAAAATGGAATGGGATGGGTGTATAGCTCAACTTCTGCACCGGACAACTCGTCCAGATTCTATGTTTGAACTGATTTCCGACTTCTTCCACCAAGCCCTTTTTGCGGACCCCATTATTATTTTACTATTAATTATCCGGTATCAAAAAAGTTTCTCAGAGCAAGCGAGAGAAGCCGAAAACTAGCCACAGAAACACATGAGATGTCTAGTCAAGTTATCAGTGCGTAATTCGACGTTTGTGCTGACGCCTTGCTAATATATGACGATTACAATCAAGATGGTGAGCGACTTGGACGTGAGTCCGGAGCAAGAGGTGCCTGCAAATGCACCGTGGAGGAGGCAATTACAGTCAGCAATTACAGTTTGTAGCAGCATGACAGCTGCTCATCTGCAAACATCCCAAAAGACAGCCGGCTCGACAGAGCGCTGCCACTTTGAGTAGGTTGGGTAATGCACGAAGGCTACGCAGTCACCCCCGCTTTGAACGTTTCTGCTTTACTTTTCTTTACTTTTTTTACTACTCGCGACTCGTATGTAAGGCTATACACCTCGCAAATGGGATTCTGAGAAGACTTTACAATCAATATAGCAACAAAAAAGAAAGCCATCAATAAAACATCGAAAGGATGTTTAGACTGTTCACGAGTTGTTAATGAATAGTTTCAGAGCGCCAAAGGGTGCCAGAGAGGGAACCTTTGCTGAACCTTAGTATTTGCCAAAGCTAAGGAATTAAAGTAAGTTTACTAAAGTAAATCAAAGGAAGAATAGCGGAGGCGTACTCTGCATGAAATATCAAACCTGTATCTAAAAAGTTCACTTATAGCGCGCAGGGTACAATTAACGCGGGTTTTGCAACGCCAAACCTGCTCCTATCTAGAGCAACGACGTTGCATATGAGACCACGACCACATCATATGTTTACTGTGTAACTCCCTCTTCTTTTGCTAACCGATCAGAGACCCAGAAGCCGCTTTAAAAAACAATAACAAGTCACGGTCGCCTCGGACGAGTCCTTCCTAGCTACGGCTTAATCGAAGACGTCGAGACATTGATATAGTTATAAGTTTTCAACAGACTAAGGTAATCACTAATCAGGAGAGGACAGAACAGGAGAATAATGTGGGGCTTTTCCACAAGGTTTCAAGTGTGAGAGGTTCAAAAACCGACTCGCACATGCAACCAATTCTACTGCAAAACACGCCCAGCGCTCTGCAGGAGGTTAGCCAGAGAATGATGCTGGGATGTCTTTTCGTCTCTCGCACAAGTATTCTGCGACAACAACAACAACTTTCCACATTTGCCAGGAGATCAATGAGCACGCCGATGCATCAGCATCACACATCATGCTCTTCAAAGATAGTTTACGGTTGCACAGAAGCTGGAAAACAGAGGCATGCGAAAAGCACAACACCACGTTCAGAATGCACGATGCGACCGCTTAAATCGCGCGATTGGAAGATTAAGAAAATTAGAACTCACAAAATACCGCCGATTATTCCATCCTACTCCTCACTGCGCTGGGGCCAGTCAGGGCGTGACCAGGATGGATGCTGAAGACTGGGCTTTACCCGTTTGCAATACAGAAGGCGGTTCAGTGGAAATTTATTACTTATGTGAAGAGAGAGCGTAACGGCGTGGGACGAGTGTCTCCTACGCCACCAAAAACGTTGAATGATGACCCAAACAAATCTACAGGTTTGCCCCGCCTCCACGAGAGTCGGAGAGGGAGCTTGACGTTGACATGATAAAGGGAGGGAGGTCGTCGTCGACGACAGGACATAACTAATCCTTTTCAAATTCACCGGTTCTCTAGTGTCTCGACATGTGAACAATAACAGTCTTAGAGCGCGTTCATACTTCGTGATCGCGCGATCGCGAACTATGAACGCGTTCTTACTAACACATCGAAAACACCAGAGAGAGGGGCTAGATGGACAAACATGTTTACGAAAGCGCTGTTATTTGTAGCCACTAGCGTGTTGGTCGCTGCTCAACTATTGCAAGCATGGACACGTAAGTTTGCAGTTTTACAAAGAGCAGTGAATCACACGTAAGGGAACCAACTTTCAACGAGAAATCTGTTAGAAGGTGGGATGTTATATCGAGCTATGGGGCTGGACAGAAGCTAACTTTATTAGTACCGCCACATCAAACAAATTTAGGTTCTGCTGGGATACAACGCCCAGCACCGCTGGTAGCACCGCTAACGGAACAGCCAGCTTCCGCCCTGACGATGACACGTACGATGCCTATACAATGCACTGGTGCTGTCGAGGAGAACTGACCGGATGCGCCTCTCTCTATCTTCTATCTTCTGTCTTATCTATCATCGATCTATGTATCTATCTTATGTGTCTATGTATCTGAAGCTTACTGTCTCTCTTCTCTCTACTCTCTCTCCCCACACTAACTCCCGGGACTCCGAAAATCCCGAGTTTGATAGAGAACTCATCAACTCATCTTATTAATGTTTTCATGCATCATGTCGAATAGTATAAAGCATGGGAATTCAGCAGCGATTAGGGAATTTACTGCTACTGTTCAAGAGGACGAAGAACGCCCCGGGCCCCGTGCACCCTCTTCGTTTCTGCGGTCTTTCCTGCCTTGCCATACGCCTCAGAGACTTGGACTCTACGAAAGCAGGATGAGCATGCGGTTGCGTTTATTTAGCAACGCGCCATCGAAAGGGCGATGCTCGGAGTTTCCCGCTACACGCAAGTGAGAGAGGGAATCCGGAGCTCCGCACTCCGCCGAACGATCGAAGATCAGAGACGCCGCCGCTTTTGCCAAGGTTTCGAGATCAGGTGGGCCGGGCATCAGTTGCGGTTTCGAGCGACGACCGCGGACCAGAGCGATCAACCGGACTGAACTTCCAGGGATGTTCAAGCGAAACGCCTGGACGACCGCCTTGCGATGGTCAGACTTCTTCGTGGAAGCTCTGAATGAATGGTATGCAACTCTTGCACGTTACAGGGATGAATAGAGACGTCACTGGCACCTGCACGAGCAACTCGCTGATCAATGGGAGCACAGGTAATACAGGAATTTGATGCGTAAAATGAGAAACAAATCCGCAAAAAATGCTTCCAAATTAAGGCGGGGAAGGGGGGGGATATTACCGCATAGAGTAAACTACAATCCTTGGTTGAGAAATGTGTAACACCGGAGTAATGTAGTTAACGGGACAATGTTTTGTTAGCGGCACGCCCTCCTCATTTTCTACTTCTCTTTGTTCGATAAGACCCCACAAGCCGGCACAACGCGGAAATCGAAAAGTGTCAGTGACGTATTTGAGCGGGACTACAGCTGGAAGCTCCTCTACGTTGCTGAAACTTAGCATACGTAGTAGAAGATCGATTATAAGCAGAATAAGCACTGACAAGCAGCAGAGGCACGCAACGACCCAAAGCAGTGAAAATACGGAAAAAATCTCGTGAGCCAGTGGATGGGCTTTTAAGAGGAAGGGGACTCTGGAGTGAATATATCACTTCCTATACATGAAAAGTTGGAATGTGTGAGATCCAGTGGCGACAGAATGGTGCTCAGGCGAGATAATGCAGATGTGGCAACGAAATTAAGTAGGCCGCGGCGGCTCTGGTTGTTCGTACTCTAAGCCTAGGCTTTGAGTGGGTGAAGAGAGGCAAAGGCGTAGCTGGTGGCCCCGCCCAATAACGCCAGCGAAATCGACTCTGAACTTCAACGACGAAAAACCTTAGTGTCGCAAAGCTCATCATGACCAGCATGGGCCAGAAGTTGAAACGCCCGAAGAAGCATCCCTTCTCTTCCTCCCATTTCTCGAAATATCCGGTGATCTACTTTTGTACACTCAAATTTCGAGCAGCAGAACTTACATAACAATTGTATCTATACAAAATTTGCTTCCGACAACTAGTTACAAGATAATCATGTGAGTGCCCAACATCGTTAGAGAGAAACAAAATTCATTCCTAAAGATTTACCGGTCCTTTCACAAATAACCATAGTATGCTGCCGAGGTAGCATAAAAAGGCACATCAGTACAGTATCACAATTTGGACAAAGAGCAAGCAACGAATCAAATATGAAATTTGGCTGCAATTTGTTTCATACGAACGAAAACTAATAACAGTCTACTTCTGTTCTTTGAAAAACTTGATAAACAATTCCAAAGTCTTTGCCAGCATATCTAGGATCTTGTGCCATGAGACGGTAAATCTGATGAGCTAGTGATCCTAGAGGCGTCGGTGCTTGCGTAGTCGTTGAAGCATTTTGCGCCAGGGAGAGGTCCTAAAACGGGAACGAAATGACAAAAACTGCCATCTGTGCAGCGAAGTTATTCATAGTAGACCAATACATCATTGCTGTAGCTATGGCAACCAGTAAAAACTCAGGAAAAACAATCAAAACTCACTTTTGCCATAAGAGCTGTTCCGAAGCCGCCTTGATATCCGTTACTGGGAGGAATACCTTCAATGACACCAGGAACAGGATTGTATGTATCAGAAGACCAACAGCGACCAGAAGAGGTGTTAATTATACCAGCCAAAACTTTCGGATCCAATCCCATCCTTAAACGTTGGAGAGATTTTAAGAAAGTTTTGGATCAGTAACTTGTGCAGCCACACTTACAATATCCTTCCTTATAGCAACGGTCACAAAACCTTACACACTAACACGTGGCTTATGGGTAAAACTTACTTGATTCCAAGATTCATTGTTTCTGCAACTCCAGCCATTTCTATTGCCAACAACATATTGTTGCAGATTTTAGCTGCTTGACCGGCACCTACATCACCACAGTTAACCTGGAGTGGAATATAGGAAGCAAAGCCGAATGTTTTCAATACTTTGAGCACCAACTGGCACTTAAAGAGAGACTGTAGGCCCACCTCCAAAAACAGTAATTTCCACGTGCGAGCTGATGGGTTTGCAGCTGCAGTAGCGTGCAGTCAAAAGTGTACGGGAAGAGGTTGTCGGGTAGTGGAACCCGGAGACGTCTCCATACTCCGCCCGCGCTATCTTCAATGAGCAGCCCTTGGAGAAACCATACTCAACGATAGAGAACAACCAGTGTGAGAGTGCGCCAGACAGCGCGGGAAAGTACGGAGAGGGCACTCAGATTTCACTCCTCTCCTCTTTTACTCCCCGTTCCAGTGCATTCTTGGGCGCAGAAAACGGCACGGTACTGCAGCTGCGGGTTCACCCGCACACGGTGAGGACCAGAATCCACGGAGGTGAGTGTACAGTTCGTCTTCAAGTATTAGCAGTGGAAGCAACAGAGGTACTCACCACATTTTTACCCATTAGCTTGATGATTGCCGCTGCACGATCAAACGTCTTCTGACATTTTCCACTACCCAGCATAAACGTGAGTGTTGCGTTCTGTGCACCTGAACAGATGCGAATCGAAATTGTCATAGCCACGTCCGTTGAACAATTAGCAAAATGTAAGGAACATTTGCCTTACCTGTCACTCCACCTGAGACCGGGGCATCTACATATGTACTCTGCTTCTTTTTACACCATTCAGCAACTTCTATAGATGCTGTCTGGTCAATAGTAGATGAATCAATACATAAACTTCCAGGTTGCATCCCTCTAAAAATTAGGGTGGAATTCGAAGACGACCCGTTTCTCACCCGCAGATACGAAGTAACTTTTTTCAAAGATTCACTGCACGCGACACGTACACTACAGCCCCGCAACACGGCCAACCACACGTGTTGGATCAGGTGTGTGGCCGGCCGCCTGGCGTATGGTTTCGAGGTGCATATCGCGTACCAAATAGTGTAGAAGACAACGGCGAAAGCGATACTTCCACGGATGCGGTATGCTTTAGCCACCTCGCACTCGGAAAAGATTCAAGTTCCAGGTACCTGTAGATTATGTCCTTAATTGCAGGAAACCTACTTTAGAAGACCATCATCTCCTCCATACGCCTTCTTCACGTGCGGGCTGCTCGGTAGCATGGTGACAATATCCTTGGAAGCTGCTGCAACCTCAGCCGGACAACTAGCTACTTCGGCTCCGTCAGCCTATAAACATATGAGACTCTTTGGATATGTGTAAAAAGGCAAAACTTCTTACATTAAGGACTCCACTTTGAATGTTGATAGCACAGTCTTGTTAATATCATAAACCACCAGTTTGTGTCCCTTCTTCATTAAATTTCGTGCCATATGGGCACCCATGTTGCCCAATCCGACGAAGCCGACTGTCGACATCCTTGAAAACGTAACTGACAGTCTGACGTCTAATGAACTGTCCATGTTATAACAGTAATTGAGCACGATGCTAACTTAGACTGAAAGTAGAAAGTACTGGGCGGCGACGCGTCTGTGCCCCTTCCCACTCTGAGAACAGGCGTTACCAGAACCGCGGAGACTGGTGAAGCAGATGGTCTGTTTGAAAAAGCAGCGAAACAAGTATCCTTCTACACACAAAATTTTTTTTTTGCTGGACACATTTCACCCTTGTTTCCTATTGTTAAGGAGACAGATAAAAATCGTCAGCCTTCTCTCGCCGACTAGGCCGAAGGGAAGATTGCATTCCACGTGGACTGCCTAGCAGAGCAGACAGAGCTTGCCGCGTAGCCCTTCCGATCTACATAAGCATCTGGGCGTACTTCTTTTTAATGGAGCGATTGCCCCAAAAGAGGGTACTCTCAAGGGACAAGTCCGATTTCGTTTTGACAGCGTGTATGGCGCGCTTGTGCAACGCACGCTAGAGTTCAAAGTGATTTTAACCTCATCTACATCTTCAAGACTGACACAGCTTCACCTAGCGGACTTTGTGAGATATCAGGGTATTGTAGAGCACATAGAACCAAGAATTGAGGGGCATCTATAGCAACAGCGCTGCCACGAAAAGAATAACTGAAGAAGAAACAGCGTAAGAAAGTGCGAAGTCAGTTGTTTCTTAGACCTAATGAACAGCAAAGAGAGCCCAAGTTTATAAGTACTTATAAGGAAGTAAGTGACTCGAGTCTCTGAAGAGCAAAGGCAAGGATTGGCTACCAGGGTAAATATAAGCAAATCTCATAGAAGAACTAAGAAAGAATAGGCATTGCAGAAAACTGAAGGCCAGGAAAGAAGAGGCACTGCCTGTGTCAAAGAGCAGCGCAATCTCACGAAAAACGACACCGAAGTGCACGTGCGATCAGCGTACGAAACGATCAATAGGAGAGAGAGAAAAGACAGCGCCGAGCTGGCGAAATTTTGAACCCAATCACCACTGAAAAATCCTCATGAAGGTTTCAAAAAACTTACCATCAGTTATTAAGGAATAACTCTAGCCCCGTGAAGTCGCGTCCACTGCAGTCACCAGGATCGTCCTTTGATCTTTTGTGATTTAACCTATTTACTGAGCATTTGAGCTTTTTGATCTGCAGACATCTTTGAAGAACCGCACAGAACAGAAATAACAGACTTGCTACGGCGTGGCTAGAGAGTTGCAAAGCGCTGAAATAAGAATGATTCCGGATTGTGAGAAATCCGGCCATCGAGAGGTCAGAAACAAGTTGACACTTTTTTTCGGTTAGAAGATGTGATACATATCGGCATGTAAGATAGACGGTCAGAACGCCTCGGAAGTTTCATATCGTGTCGCCAGTACGGTTTCGTGCTTGTAAAGCGGGAGGATTGCAATAAGTCGGACCGAATGCCCGAATTCTATTTAGTAAACTTGCCTCATCAACCCGATATTCCTAGTTACCCTCGAACGGAAACTTTAAAAGTTGCAGGTGGCGTGGCTGGTATACGCTATAGCTTCAGTTTAATGAGGAACCTTCTCCAGCACTTTGTTTAGCGGGTGGGGGGAAGGATCACTTTCTTACTACTTCTTACCGGCCTCAACATCCCACCCCCTCCCAAAGCTTCTAAGTAGAAAGACCGAAAGAGTATCACCACCAAGGGTGTGCGTAGAGCAAACGTCCCCAGAGGTGTAAGGGGTCATCGACAAAATCCTCAACACTATCACCTATACGAGATTTTTAGCGGACGCTCTACCTGGGCAAAGCCAATTTAAAAATGTTTTCTTACAATTTCTCCGAAACTCCATGTTTCAAGTTAAGAAGAAAACTCAGCCCTACTAAACTATGTCCTCCTAAAGAGATGATCTGCTCCTCAGCTTTTCCATTTGCAATCACAGTTCTTGGCTTTAACGAAATATTAGAATAGAACAACTTGACTTTTACCATACAAGTACACTGCTCTACCACAATTTATTCGTATCTATAACAACAACAACTTGTGCAATTCCAACCTACGAGATTAACACTATAATTGATTACAGCATTCTCAACGACTAAATAGAAGACGAAAAGACGCTACTGTTTTGAAGTAATCAAACTAGTTAGAGTGTTTGAAACAGTGATATAAAGTATTGAATTTACGAGTGATGACCTATTTATGCGTAACGAGCTTTGCATTGCTTGAACGCTTCATTGAATCCATTGCAAAGTGACACATCAGATTGGTTTTGAGTGCTGAAAATAGGTTACTATGACTCAACGGTCATGGGTAGTTCGGCGCTAGCTTAGCTGGCATGAGGGGAGGGGCAGAGCATAGATCAGAAAAGAACATGATTTCGGTTAAGCTGCGTTTATACTTTGCGACTCGGGGGAATCGGTTTCGGTAGAATGCTAAGGTAGAGGCTTAGGTATCAATCTGTTGTTTTGAGCGAAATGTACAGTATAGGTGTCAACTGGCGCTTGAAATGCGGATTTTACAACGTCAGCGAATGGCATTCATCGAGCATCCTTATCATCCTTTCCGTTCCAAACTCTGACTCTCCTGGAACCCCAACTCAATACCAATACTTTCCTTTACTCCCAAAAGCCGATTCTAACGAGTCGCGAAGATGAACGCAGCCTAAGAAACATAGGCGAGCAACATTAGTCGTGCCAGCCTCCCTCAACTATGTCAGCGCCAGAAATATTACCAATTGGCAATAAAAGTGCTTAAGCCTTACCACTCAATGAATTGCTTCCACTCGAATTCGCACGGATGAGAATAGGCCTGCTGTTGCGGAGCTTGAGCGCTAGCCTCAACCGGTGCAGCTTCTGCTGAAGACGAGCCACCTCCACCGGTGAGCATGTGACCAACAGTGTGGCCCTAGAAGCAACGACAGATGAGAAAATTTACGAGGGGTACAAAATAGGTCTGATTGACATGACATGGTATAAAACTCACCACAGCGCTACCAATAGCAACTCCTCCAGCCGTAGCCGCCATTTGTGCCATCAATCCTGGTCCTTGCGAAGGAGCACCCATAGGAGCTCCCATGGGTGCAGCTCCCATTGGAGCAGCTGCAGAAGAGAAATTATCATGAAGTAATTAAACGTTTACTAGGTACTGACAGTAAACTATACCTGTTCTAGCTGGCATGGGTGCAGGAGGTGGGGCAGCACGCATGGCAGACGGCGGCGGTGATGCCCTGCGGACTGGAGCCGAAGGCCTTGGCGATGCAGTTCGTCTGCGAACCATATTCCTACAAGACCAAGGAAATAAGAATTTACCAGAACATACCAGAAACGAACAACGAAGAAAATTCCAATAATTCTGAAGTTTTGCAGAAACATCTGTTGAGAGTTCATCAGGCGAAACTCTAATTAAGGATTAAGGTTTATTATGCAACGCTGGCACTATATTTTCCGCGACTCTTGTCCTTTCCACGAACCAAAACCGTCGCAGGGACAGGGCACAGCATCACAGGAATGGGCGCCGCGACCGGAGACGCGTTGCACTTAGATACCCGGGTGGGCGTGGCCACAGGGGCAAGGCTTCGAAATGGACCGGTGTTTCCCAAATTTGTGCCGCAATAGATATTAGACGGGAGCACCGTTTACAAGGTAAACGTTCCTATTGTCTTCAAGGTGTGCTTAATGTTGATTTCATGACGCCTTGATGACACACTTTTTTCGCTCTGCCTTGTTATACCTTTGCAAAAAGCATAAATTCCAATCTAAGTTAATTCTTCCTCTCGGAACTTCTTAGTTCAAGCAGTAGAAACACACAGCTGTTTAATAAGAAGGAAATTATCGTCTCCAAGCTCAGGAAGAAGCGCTGAAGCCTAATTATATCCGTCCACGTCAAGCCCTCGCCCTATTTTGGCCACGCCCACCGGGTATCTAAGTCACGTTGCCACACAGGATGTCCCATCAGGAGGAAGTCGTGTTGTGATTTTCTTTTTGCCGGAAGGCGGTTAGCTAACCTGTATCCAAAACACCACTTAGAGTCGTAAGGAGATGAGGATATGAGGATTTCAGTCCAAGGCTTTGGGAACGGGCTGCGAGGTGTATGGGCCGATTTCTTTGAGCAAATTTTTCGAATCACTGCAGTAAAAAGCTGAGCCTTTCTGTGAAGCGACGAACCTATAGTTTTAGCCTACAGTAGCCTAACCTAGATCGCATTCACGTTCGAGACACGTCCTGCCCTTATAGGAAAATTCTGCAAACTACGATCCCCTCTGGTCGGCGATCAAATGAGACCCCTGTTCCGGATCTACAACGTGCGACGGGCCCTGTTCACTCCATCAAATTTCTCGCACTTTCGTAAACTTGGCGATCATGTGACCTCGCGTGGGGCCCACGTCAATCAGTAACTTTCAGTAACTCTTTGGAACTTTCAGTAACTCATGTCAGCTTCACCCTGTCAAAGTTGATGACATGCGCCTGTTGATTTCATTTTATGAGTTTTCTGGGCCTTATGATAAATTACTTTCCGGTGCCGTTGGAGAATGGAGAACTCCACGAAAAGAATGGGCAAGGAATGAGTTTCCTTGCCCCTCCCTCCTTCCCAAGTCGAGAATCGATCAAATCGATTCGTTTCTACTTCTCATATTTTACAACTCGGCGCTAGCAAAGAATGGGGTGAGCAAAGTCTTTTCGAAAAGAACAAGTCCTCTATTTGAAAAGGATGGCTAATAAAAATCAAGGATCAAAAGAAGAAAGCAGATCAATCGAAAAACACACTTGAAGATCAGATTGTTCGTTTCTCCTCTTCGTCAGACAGGCTTCGCTATTTCAGCAAGGCGCTAATCAATAAACCAATCAATAGGTCGCTCAGTGTACCAAAACTTTCGCAACTCACAACTTTCCAGAAAAACACAGAGACCTAGGTAAATTACTGCGAAGGTTAGCAAGCCACTTGACCCCGCTCCTTTAAGGGCCTTATTTGTTGCTTAGACGTTGATGCAATCGCTTTCAATTCTGCGTTACTACTGGGAATTAAAAACCAGTTAGAAATAGGACTCCCAAAATGAACAATCTGAAGTGAAATGAGTCATGAGTAGGCAGAATCTTCAAGAAATCTGAACTGAAACGATTCGCATCAGAAAGCCACAAGCACGGTCGTTATCAATGAGAAATGGTGATGACGAACGTCCGTGCGAAAGGCGGTGCACGACCAGCACAGCGATTGTCACGTGGTGTTTCGTAATACCAATGACGTCATGTCCCGAACAATCTTCGCAAATCCAATCGGAAATATGTGATATGTGTGAATTCGGCTCCAAATTTAATTGTTTGCATATCGATTGATTATTGAGGGCAACTTATTAACCAGAATACGACCGCGAGCGGTCCCCAATCGTGAAACTTCTTTTATCGATGCCGCAGCTAGTGCTACGGGACTTGTGGCCGCTACGGTATCGGTGCCCTAAATTCTCTGCAATTAGGCAATGCAATTACTATGTTGCTGTGGTTAATACAGCCAATTATGAGTTTCTATGTCTCGGGACGCCTGTAACCGCTCACGAGATTGTCGGAAAAGTGCGGTCGGGTCCGTGTGGCAACCAGTTCTTCAAGTTCAAAAAAAAGACTAAGAGCAATTCAACGTGAAGGTTCTATACACTTAACGGATGCGGTGACGGATCTATTGGGACGACAGCTAAGCTTTAGATGGTAGCTGGCAACTCGGCAGCAGCACAACCTTAATTGAGGTGCGAAAGATCTTCGGTGGTCTATCTGCGAGATGACCTCATTAACGACGAGAGGAGGCTTAGAGGTCATCCTGTCACCCACATTCCTTCACAACGAAAGCAGAAAGATCAATAAATCGAGGAAAGCAACCAGTAAAATGCAGATTCTCTTGGAAAAAAATGTTGTGGAAGAAAATATTGGTATTGTACACTTCAAATGCATTAGTTACAGTGAGTAACCAGGAAAGTATGGGACCTCTGGTATTCAGGATTTTCATTTTCAAATACCACTAAATAGCGTCTGAAAGTCGGAAAATGAACATTACACTAAAAGGGTTCAGCCCACCGAAACAAATACACTTATTTGTTTTCAACAAACTCTTCTCGCAAGATTACTAAAATATGCCTGCTCGCCCCTCAGTTACCCGAGACCGGCTATCAAACACAGAGAGAGGGACTAGAGCGTTTTTCGAGGTTAGCCTTCGTCAGCCTAGAATTACTAGCTTGGCTGGAAGTGATGCACTTTTAGGAGCTTCAGAGCGTTAGGCAAGACTCGGCATATGCTACAAAAAAGCCTGTCCAGATATATTTTGATCTAATAAGTAAATCTCGAG